GTCTTGCGTAGGATGATCCTCCTCACCCTCATTAAAACAATCATTAAATCTTGAAAAGGTTAAGGGAAATTAATTAAATATTAGTATATCATATAAATTTAAATATTGATAAATATTCTCCAAAAGTTGCATGTGATATAGTAGTAGAAACCTGACTTTACAATATTCTCTAAAAGTTGCATGTGATATTTTTTATAAACCGTTTAAAAAAATCACCATAAGATTCAATTGTTGATTTAACATATCACGACGACTCAAATTTAAACACTATATAATTATATTATTTATTTTATTATTTAAATATATTGTCCTCTCTGTGAGATATTGGATCGAACTCTAGTATGGTCGAAGTCTGTTCGTGAGTAATGCATGTTGTAGTCGAAGTCTATTTTAACATGCATTAGTAAATATTGCTAGGGTTGTTAGCATGTTGAATTGGGCCTTGCTTGTAAGCCCAATTGTTTAAGTTAGCTTGTACCCTAAGTTGGCTTATAATGGGTAATTGTTAAAAAGCCCATTAGGTTAGTGTGCTATTTTTCTTATAAATAGGATGCTAGTTTCTCAATTTTGGCATAAGGAAAAATAGGAAGATAAAATCCTAATTTCAAGGGAGAGAGGTTATTTTGTTATTCTTGTATACTTGTAATCTTGTTCTAAGAGAAAGGAAAGAATAACAGTTTAATAACCAATCCTTGTTGTTCCTTGTTGTTTTACCTTGTTTTCTTTGTTAACCCTAACCCTTGTGAGTTTCTTGATCATTAAGAAACCGTTTATACTTTGTTTAAAGGTATCCGATTCACAATAAATTGGTGCAGTGAGCATGGAGAAGATGTCTTCAACAAAGTATGAGATTGAAAAGTTCAGCGGAGTGAACGACTTCGGTCTGTGGGGGCTTGAAGATGAAAGCCCTATTGGTTCAACAGGGTTGTTTGGAAGCGTTGAAGGGTGAGGCAGCCATGGACGTTGCGTTAAAGGCAAAAGAAAAGACGAGCATGATCGAGAAAGCCCAAAGCGCAATATTGTTGAGCCTTGGTGATAAGGTTCTTCGACAGGTATCAAAGGAGATTACATCATCGGGATTATGGGTGAAACTTGAAAGTTTGTACTTGACCAAATCTCCAGTGAATCGACTCTACCTGAAGCAAGCTTTATATTCATTCGAGATGAGTGAAGATAAAGTGTTGGCTGAGCAGTTGGATATGTTCAACAAGCTGATTCTTGATCTTGAAAATATTGATGTGAAGATCGATGATGAAGATCGATGATGAAGATCAAGCATTGTTGTTGTTGTATGCTTTGCCCAGAACACATGCTCACTTCAAAGAAACTCTCTTGTATGGAAGGGAGTCCCTGACCTTTGAAGAAGTTCAATCAGCCTTGTATTATAAGGACTTGAACGAACGAAAGGAGCATAAACCTTCGCCGATGGTGGGCGAAGGTTTGGCCGTTAAGGGAAAATTCTTGCGAAAGGATGGTAAGTTCGACAAGAAGAAAGGTAAAAGTCAACAAAAGTCTTATAGTGGAGAAACATCTAGTATTCGATGTTATCACTGTAAGAAGGAGGGTTACATAAGAAAGGTGTGCCCTAAATGCCTGAAAGATCATGGAGGTAATGACAATGCAGCCATTGTTCAAGATGACTTCGACTCATTTGATGTTCTTGTGGTTTTAAGTGGCGTCTCAAGGAAAGAGTGGATTATGGATTCAGGTTGCACTTGGTACATGACTCCAAACAGATATTTGTTCGAGGAGCTATGTGATCAAGATGGTGGATCTGTGCTGCTGAGAAATAACAAATCTTGCAAAATTGCAAGTATTGGATCTGTGAGATTCAAGTTCCATGATGAGTCAATAAGGTTATTGATTGAAGTCAGGTACGTACCTGACTTGAAAAGAAATTTGATTTCTCTTGGTGAATTCGACAGAAAAGGAGAGAAAAGTATCCTAAGAGTCATGAAGGGGTTGAAGGAAGTCTTGAGAGGCGTGAAGATACAAGGCTTGTATACCCTTGAGGCTGAGGTTGTAAGTGGTTCGACAAATGTTGCATCCACGAAACTTATGTCGAAGACAAAATTATGGCACATGAGATTGGGCCATGTCAGCGAAAGAGGCCTGGTCGAATTGGGGAAGCAGAACCTGCTAGAAGGTGACAAAGTCGAAAAGTTAGAATTTTGTGAATCTTGTGTATTTGGTAAATCCTGTAGGGTGAAGTTTAACAAAGGCAAGCAAAGAACACATGGATCCCTGAATTACATTCATGTTGATCTTTAGGGGCCTGAAAGGAATCCTTCACACTCAGGTGCAAGGTATTTTCTATCCATCGTTGATGACTATTCCATAAAGCTATGGGTATTCATTTAGAAGACGAAGGATGAAACTTTTGAGAATTTCAAAAGTTGGAAGATTCTGGTCGAAACTCAAACTGACAAAAAAGTTAAGAGGTTGAGAACCGACAATGGCCTTGAATTCTGCAACAAAGCGTTCAACAATTATTGTGTTGAGTCTGGGATTGCAAGGCATAAGACTGTAGCAGGTACTCCTCAACAAAATGGCTTAGCTGAGAGATTCAATCGAACAATCCTTGAAAGGGTTATATGCATGTTGGTTAGTGCTGGATTGAAGAAAGTGGTTTGGGCGGAAGCTGTTTCGACAACAGCTTACATGATAAATAGATGTCCCTCAAGTGCCTTCGGAATGAAGACACCTGTAGAAGTTTGGTCGGGACATCCACCTAGTCTCGACACATTGAGAGTATTTGACTGTATGGCCTATGCTCATATTAGGCAAGACAAGGTCGAACCTAGAGCTCTGAAATGCATGTTCATGGGATACCCTGAAGGAGTCAAAGCTTATAGGTTATGGTACCTAGAGCCAGGTTACAGGAGGTGTATCACCAGTCGAGATGTAGTTTTCAATGAAGCAGAGATGACTTTCAAGAAAACTAATGATGCTGACGAAGAGCTGGAACAGGGAGAAATTCCTGTTGAGGTGGAGCATGTTGATGCAGAATTGCTTACCCCAAATGAAGTCGAAGAAGACGCAGAAGATGTTGTCGAAGATGAGGAGACTGATAATGACTACCATATAGCAAGAGACAGGTCAAAGAGAGTCATCAAGCCACCTCAGAGACTTGGGTATGCAAATCTTATAGCTTACGCCTTAATCTCTGCTAGTGAGGTTCTAGATGAAGAACCTAGAGGCTATAAGGAAGTTATGAGGAGTCGAAAGAAGACTGAATGGCTGAAGGCCATGGATGATGAGATGAAATCTCTTCATGATAACAGCACCTGGGAACTGATCAAGAAACCTGCTGGAGCCAGGTTAGTCAGTTGTAAGTGGATTTTAAGGTACATAAATGGGTCTCTGAATAGAGTCCTAATTTATGGTGGAGCCTTGGGTGAAGATAGTAAAGCAGCAATCGAAGGATATGTCGACTCTGATTATGCAGGTTATATGGATTCCAGAAAATCTATCTCTGGATATGTGTTCACTATGTTTGGGACAACAATCAGTTGGAAAGCAACACTTCAGAAGGTCGCTGCCTTATCAACCACTGAAGCGGAGTATATTGCCCTAACTGAAGTTGTGAAAGAAGCATTGTGGCTTGAAGGTTTTGCAAAGGAGTTAAAACTTCAAGGTCGAGTTATCACTGTTAAATGTGATAGTCAAAGTGCAATACACCTGTCGAAGAATTCAACCTATCATGAGCGAACCAAGCACATTGATGTGAGGCTGCATTTCATCAGAGGGATAATCGAGCGTGGAGAAGTCCAAATGCTGAAGGTTTCGACAAATCATAATGCTGCTGATATGATCACCAAGACGTTGCCCAGTTGCAATTTTTTCCACTATATGCAGTTAATAAAGCTGCATGAAGAAAGCTAGTTTCTTGATGTTATAGAGTTAGATCCAAGGTGGAAATTTGTGAGATATTGGATCGAACTATAGTATGGTCGAAGTTTGTTCGTGAGTAATGCATGTTGTAGTCGAAGTCTGTTTTAACATGCATTAGTAAATATTGCTAGGGTTGTTAGCATGTTGAATTGGGCCTTGCTTGTAAGCCCAATTGTTTAAGTTAGCTTGTACCTTAAGTTGGCTTACAATGAGTAATTGTTAAAAAGTCCATTAGGTTAGTGTGCTATTTTTCTTATAAATAGGATGCTAGTTTCTCAAATAGGAAGATAAAATCCTAATTTCAAGGGAGAGAGATTATTTTGTTATTCTTGTATACTTGTAATCTTGTTCTAGGAGAAAAGAAAGAATAGCAGTTTAATAACCAATCCTTGTTGTTCCTTGTTGTTTTACCTTGTTTTCTTTGTTAACCCTAACCCTTGTGAGTTTCTTGATCATTAAGAAACCGTTTATACTTTGTTTAGAGGTATCTGATTCACAACACTCTCTATAATAATTTATAAGAGTTATTACAAATTTACAATTTTTTGTATTTTTTTAAATATGTTTTTATGAGAAGATGAAAAAGTAATTTTAATTGAATGTTCTTTATAGAAAGAGAAAATAAATTAAATTAATTTGTATTTAATTTAATTATGAAAAAAAATGTAGTTTTTTTAGAATAAAATCGTAAAATGAAATAAAATTGATCTTTTTTATTTATAATTTGTAAAAAAAATTGTTTTTTTTGTTTATATATATATATATATATATATATATATATATATATATATATATATATATATATATATATATATATATATATATATATATATATATATATATATATTTTAAAATGATCTACAGAATAATAATTTCGCCGGTAATACCAGTGTGACCAGGTTGTCATCTGCTCGGAACGACCAAAACCCCCTACCGAAGTTTTTCCCAACTGAAAAAACTAAAAACCCAAATACAACGTAGCTTCAATTTTCATCTTTTGAATTCGATCATCGTCATTATTATTCCTCTCTATGATCTATTCGATTCAATCCAAGTCCATGCCCAGATTATAAAACATCTTTATCAACACAGCGAAGTCGAAATCGATGGGGAATATATTCGTGAAGAAACCTAAGGTAACGGATGTGGATCGTGCAATTCTAGCTCTCAAGACCCAGAGACGCAAACTTGCTCAATATCAACAAAAGGTTGCTTTTTTCGAAACCCTCTTACCTCAATTTCATTTATGTTCTAATATTTTGATCCTGAACGTGAAGTTTTCTCATAATTGAATATTACCACTTATTAGGGCTAAAAGAGAATTGAAGAATTGAATTATATTTTAGATTAGAAAGGATTGAACTGAAGTATAGATCACTTTCATGTTAATTGTATTTGTTTTTTGGTGTATGTTTTCTATGGAGAAGTTTAGAAGGGTATTTCTGTCATTTTTCTACTCTTTCCTTTTTGTTCCTTTTTCATATGGTTTTTGATGACATTGTGTTTTAGATGGAACAGTTACATAAGTATTGAAGTATGTACGAGGATACACTACCTTACTTGAGTTATTTTCTTGTGTGTTCATTGTTTTCCAGCTTGATGCTGTTATTGAAGCAGAAAAGCAAGCTGCACGTGACTTGATTCGTGAAAAGAAGAAAGATAGGGCTTTGCTTGCGTTGAAGAAAAAAAAGACACAAGAAGAATTGCTGAAGCAAGTTGATACCTGGCTTATAAATGTTGAGCAACAAGTAATATTTTATTATTCTGTCGTTTTTTCGTTCTTATCCAATAATTAATGGTTGAATCTCTGTCTGTTAGCATCTTTCCATGGTGTTCTCCTCAGAAGAGATAATTAAGAGATAATTAAGTGACAACACTACCCTCTTTTAACATGATTACACACTTAAAGAGATGCTTACATTTGTTTTTTGGGTTCAGTTAGCAGATATTGAACTGGCAAGCAAGCAGAAGTCTGTTTTTGAAAGTTTAAAAGCTGGAAATGAAGCGATGAAAGCCATACAAAGTGAGATAAACATTGAGGATGTTCAGAAACTTATGGATGACACTGCTGAAGCTAAAGCTTATCAAGATGTGAGCTTGAGTTCATTCTTATCCTTACTCTTGCTGTTTTTGAAAACTGATTTCCACTTCTAGATTTGTTGCACTTAAGTTTGATTTTTTAGGGGACGGGGTTTTTGTGCTTTTCGGTTTTTTATATTTTACAGCTACTTTTTCTTTGGCAATTCCAATATCCTTCCTGACTCTCTTTTTGTCCGTTTACATTTGAAACTTGCTGATGATTTACATGATTTTATTGAATTTAAAGGAAATCAATGCAGTGCTTGGGGAGCAATTATCAGCAGAAGATGAAGAGGAAATTTTGGCAGAGTTTGAGAACTTGGAAACCCAGGTACGGGATTTTTTATTGACTTATATTTTACTCCAATATAATCCATTCATATTGTTCCAGCTGTACTATTGGCTTTAATGATAGTATATGGAAAGGACATATATATCATTATGCTTCAATTTAGCACTTTTCACTTACTGTACCTCCTTGCTGGAGGAATGACACGTTATATATTAGCTAAAGTTAGTTGATGGAGGTTCTTCGTTTGTGGATTTAAGTGTTTCTATGTCGCGGCTATAACATTGCTACAACACTATACCATCGATTTGAGCAAATGGCTATTGTTCCGCTATACTCTATTTAAGACAAAATTTTGTCAGAAAGTGGGATTGTAGCACTTTTGCATAGAAGAATTTGAAAATATTTGATTTAGTTTTGTTATTTGAGGAATCCAAGTTAGTTGCGGTATACAGTACACCATCTAGCTTAAATAAACATGTACTGCAACTAACTGCATAATGTTACTGCCTGGTCGTTACGCTGCCAGTGGAAACATTGAATTAAATTGTTTGTGCACCTCTAAGCTAAGTTTTGAGCCAGTGAATTCAAAACTAGGAAACAGTATAAAGGCAACACGTATAAGTCATGCCAAACAGAAAAAATGTTGATTAATGAAGTTCACAGAAGCATGAATACGCAATAGATGCATCATTCCCCCATATTATTGGATGACAACTGAATGATTTCATATTATTTCCATCAGCTTGCTGTCGATGATCTTCCTGAAGTTCCTACCACAGTTTCTGAAGATATTAATGAAAAATTGGACCTTCCTGATGTTCCAACCAAGGCACCAGTTGCCACTGAGGCTAAAGAACCTATAAAAAGAAAAGGTATTTTCTCATCCTCTGAACCTGCCGCCCCTCACTCACAAAGAAAACTATAAAAGTATAGTAAATATTTGCTAACTGATATGCCTGATGTTGCAACAGTTATGGAGGAACCATTGGCAGCTTGAAGAACATTGCGACGGAAACACGGCAACTGCTTTGCAAACCAAAGTGTAGAATCTGGTTTTCTTGCCTGCCTGTACCACTCTCAACTCTGTTACTTCCTACAGTTACTGGAGTTTTGAATGGTTTTAGTATTTGCAAAGACATTTAATTTGTACAGATGTGCATATATGATACTCTTTCCATCTCTATTTGATAAGGCTTGTTCACAAAAATCAAAAAACAATCAATGACCAAAGGAGTGCAATATTTTTACCGAATTGTCTTTGGAGTATTATTCACTGTTATAAATATATAATGAGATACAATGACTTGAGAATGGAAGGATGCATTATTTGAGGGGAAAATTAATGTTATAAATTTATCAAATGAGGATGTACATAAGTTTTATCATTGAATTGTATAGTGAGAAAATCATTCTTTACGATTGATATTTTAATGTTTTTTAAATGGCAAAATACCTTCTTTTTTTTTTCTTTGATTCGGGGTTCAGTTTGATCTTTTAGCTTAAAAACAATATTTTGATCTCTTAATTTTGCAAACTGGATCATAGTAATACTTTCCGATTAAATGTCATTTTTGCTGTGCCAAATGACGTGTGACACACAGCTTTGTGACTAATTTAGCAAGTATGAGTTTTTTTTACAAGTTTATTGCAACATATTTTCATATGAAGAGTAAATGAACTCTAATTATTTTCATATAGAGTAAATGAACTGTGAGCATCTCACATAAATTGCTAGTTATGTTGATTTTAGTTTAGAGAGTGTTTTGTGCTTCTATAGTATGAGTTTTGTAGTTTGTATCCTAAGAATCAGCAGCCCCTAAAAATCACCAGGTCTTGAAAATTAAGATCATAGTTATCTACGCTAAATTGGTTACAAGTTGGTTTAAGCCGCGTGTCATTTCACGACAGTGCCACATAGCCTTATTGGTTGACTTTTGAGTAATAGAATTGACAAAATTAAGCCTTTTTAATAAGAAAAACAACATGAAGCACCAGATAGTCATCAGCCACAAGGCCATGTCAAGGTTTCACGACTTGTATTTGTCATTTACAGGCCTTCAAAGGGTCTGGTAGGAAGAAGAAACATTTTCTTTTCACAAAATTTGTCTTGTAAAAGTTCATAACAAAGTGGTAAGATGATTTTTTCAGTTTCTCTATAAAGTTCAAGCAATAGATAACTGAACACTGATAATTTTATTATAATTTAGTAATTTTGACGCTCCAGTCAAATATTACATACTATACGTCTGTAAATAATTACCTCTGCCTTGTTAATCTCAGTGAACTATATAATACTCCTATAATAACGACAACGAGGTTAAAATCTAGGATTTTATGCATACTATTCAAACTGCTCACCATTGGACCAATCTTAAAGGTTTATAGCAGTTAACTATGAAACTCCACAAGTACACAGAAATTCTCATCATAAAATGCAACAACTGAAGTTTGAATCTCAACAATCTCACACACTATCCACTATCCATCAATAACATAATATCAAAGGAAGGGGCTGGGGAGAGTAATTATGTATCGTCCCGTAATTTCTGTATTTTACACATTGTTGTATCTCTCGCAGTTGGCTAGGGATTAACCTCCCGTTGGAAATAATTGCTTGATTTACTTTCTTGTATATCCAGATGCAAATTAAACGAAATCTTTGAACGTATCACAAGTCAAAATGAACATCTTCTGCTTGAGAACTAGCCTTCAAATTAGATGAATGCGCACTTACTTTGCCAAAATATCTTGAGAGTATGAGTCGGGCAATATTCTCAGCTGCCACAGCACTTGTCTCCATGGTGCTAGCCGCATTTTCGAATGCATTAACATAGTACAGATGTCGTCCATCCAATATAAACGGTGCAAATATTTCTGGGGCGTGATACTGAGGATAGGCAGCCCAGTTTATCCGAATTGTCTCCTTCCTCACACTGTCAGAGGAGCAATCAACAAAAGTTACAATCAGAAATTGGTGAAAGTTTTCTTTTCCTCATTTTTTGAAGAACAAGAAGAGACAGCTTAAAATACAAAGCTAAATTAATAAATACTGCCATTAGGTTCCATCCTGATGCACACATTTGCACCTCAGGGCTAAATGATCTAACCATAGTCCAGATTGTATTTATTATTTAGGTTTGATGTGAGTCCATGGTTATCCCAAGTTATAGACCAGTCTTCTTTCTCTAACTAGAAATGGCCAGGTTTGTGCCATAGATTTTGCTACACAAATCAGCAGCATAATTTAAGAAGGCACATGAAAAATTTGTTGATTAACAGCTTATACTATTACCTGAAAATGCTATCAAGTAATGTGTCTGTCATTGGTTGACGTGAGAATATTTTATAAGTTGATTCTTCTTCATTGTGCTTCTTGAGAACTGAGATGCTTGTAAATGGAAGTTTAGGATCCTCTAACGTAGCCACAAGATCTGGAAGTTTTGCCGCAGCCTTGAGACCGAAATATATCTACAGCACAACAAAGGATATCCATTAGTAGTAGCAGCAACAACTAAAATGAAAGAAGAATGTATATCAGACCGACATGGACAGAATCTGTACTACATAATAGTAGGTTATGACTATCAGGTGCTAATTACTCACAGGGTTTATAAGACCCCTGACAAAAGTTGCATGTGTATGCTGTAGTTTTCTCTCAGGAATTGAAATTGGAGGAATAAATTGAATATTTATCTCATCCAATGGTGTGGCAACCACAGCAACTTTACAGATGTAACTGTTTCCTTTTGTTGAGTTGAGTTCATAATAATCTCCAAGGTCAGCAACAGATTTTATTTCTTCGTTCAAATGTAATGCAACATCCGATCGATTAATCAATCCAGCAGCCATCTGCCAGTTGCCTCCCTCAATGGCCCATAATCCTCCACCTGATCCTGCCAGCGAAACTGCACCTCCCAACCCACTCATGTAGACACTTTGACCATAGTTAATGCGTGTGATGACCTGCATAAATAAACAGACCAAAATCCCATATTATAGTAAGCTTTTTAAATCTAAGATGCTTCTTTTTCTACATGTGAGGGATATTTTATTCTTAAGTAACACAATACTTTCACATGCCCAATTTGGATTAGCTTCTAACTGATCAGGGCATCTCAATCAAAATAAGTGTATGGTTCTTCATTTAAGAAAATAATCCTTACAAATTTGCAGATAGTTATAGAGAAATTAAATCAGAGAGCTTCTAAAAAATAAAGATACATAAGCTAATTTCAACTTACACGATAAACTGTTACTGCAAGATTCTTTCAAAATTTCTTTTTGCACGAGCATTTGTCAAGAAAGAAGTTTATCCAAACAAGCTCTCAGTTGAAATAAACTAGAGTAAATCAGCATTTCAGCACTCCAAATTGTATGGATCGAGCACTTTAGTCTCTCCATCAAAATAATATTTTCGTAAACATCCATCAAAACCAAAGAGAGACCTAAAATTAACTTGAATAGTCTTTTACTACATCAAAACAAGCATAGAATCTTTAAAATTGTTGTGCTAAATTTGGAGAAAGGACTAATTGACTATCACAGTTCAATTTAATGGACTAAATTGTTTGGTTTTTTTCAAATTTGTAAGGCTAAATTATGGACTCGGTTGAATATGCCACATATTAAGACAATGAGGAACAAAATATGTGGATACTTCAAACCGGTCTTAGTCCCAACTATTTGTTGTGGATAGGTGATTGGGGTGCGGGGGCAATAGCCCCTGTGGTATGGTTTAGTGGTATATATAGCTTGTATTTTGTAACACGGTAACCCTACTTATTAGACAGAAACCAAGGGAGCTATAGTTACTCCATAGTCGCAGAGGTAGGCACCATTGGCTGAAGTACTTTAATAAAGATCGTGTTCATCTTTTACTTTCGTTTCTCTTTAATCTTCTACAATGGTTGTTGTTCTAACATACTATTACAATTTCAATGAATAAAACGCTGATCCACTCAATAAAAAACATGGTAACATGCAAAAATTCTGAACTTGTGATCTATCTATATTCTATATTTATAAAGGGTAATAAGAATTCTCACCGTGACAAGTTCATTGATCAACAATGGCGACAATCCAACATCAACCAATTCATCTTGTAAAGTTCTGGTAGTAAGATTAAACAAACCAGCCCATTTCAACATCTCACCCACAGTATCAAAAATAGGTCTTGAATCAGTTTCCTCATAGTATTTTAAGAACCTATCCACAACAATCTAAACAACAATAGCACACATTTGCTTTTATATACAAATAAATAATCAACTTAAACAATAAAAGCGATTAAACCTAACAGAAATAGGTACCTGAACAAAGTTCTGCATCTTAAAGAGCGAGAAACCATAGCGAACAAACACGAGTCCCGAATTGACGAGAGAAACGAGATTCTCAACAAAAGCGAGTTTGAGAAACTTCTCGATGAGAGGAAGATTGCTACTGATTTCAACCGTTTTGAAAACGAATTTATCGCCATCCCAAATTCCGAGAGAGAATGATCCTGAACTTGGCTCTTTAGCCTTAAGGTTGAGAAGCTTTGTGTAATTGACTGCGTGGAGATTCTTCGGATGAAGAATGGAAGCTCCAGCTTCGAATGTTTCTCCGGCTATGGTGACGGTGGCTGTGCGACCACCGACTATGCTGTTGCGCTCGAATACTCGGATTTTGGTGGTGTGAGTGAGCTCCGGTGAGTATTGGCGGATGAAATGGGCAACGGAGGAACCGCCGATTCCGGCTCCGATGATGCAGACGGTGGATGAAGGTGGTGGTGCATCGGAGTGTTGGTGAGCTTGGGAGAACAAAAGAAAGGTCAACAACAGAGGAAGTAGTGACGTGTCCATGATAGTTGCTTCTATTCAACTGTCACAAATAATTCCGGGGTGCAGAACGATAAATGTAAAACTATATTGAGTACTCTCTCTTTGGACGAAGAATTCTAAGTTTAACTCTTACGTGGATATAAAAATTATACAAAGTTTGATTATTTGTCATATTCAA